GAGGACTTCTTACGTGTCATGCGACACAGACAGGGATTAAAATCGACTTCTGACATTATAAAGAGTTGCATATTCAAAACCACGGCTTGCTTCTATTCAGGTGAAGACGAAGAATAGGAGATGATCGTGAAACTCACATTGAATATTTATTGGCTTATAAGCGCACACCAGATGCTATACAAATCCTAGGCAGGAGGATGAGATTTACAGACATGTTTGAAAAAAGCAAAAAAACAAAAACAAAACAATAACAACAAAAGGACAGATGGTACGTGCTGAGGTGAAATTAAACACGAGGCATCTGCTTGATGAATTCTTGTTTTACTTAGGTACTTGTGGTCCGGGATACAAAATAGACACACACACACACACACACACACACACACACACACACACACACACACACACACAGGACAAGGAAACACAGGATACCCCAGAGCCCAAACGGGACTGTGCCAGGCAGTGAGATTATCCAGGCCACAGGAGTGATTTAGGACCTGTAAGATGAGGCCTAGATCTTTGAAGTGAGTTCAAAAGGCAAAGTGGATATGAGCCCATTAAGGACAGATGGGGATGATTTCGCCATCCTGCAATTTAGATCGTCACTTCACCCAGTCTTCCTGGGTGAGTAGCACCTACGGTGACACAGCTCCCCTCCTACCAACCTGGTCACACTAAATAACAAAGGGAAGAGAGGGGTAAGAACTGTATTATCTAGAAATTCTCAGCGCAGTGATGGAAAGTGGTCTTCTACGTTGTATTCAGACCTAAAAAAGGAGGGGAGGGAGGGAGAGACCTATACTCATAGCCCTACAAGATTCGCTGCTTAAAGAAAAATATTTTCCAGGAAGACTGAGAGGAATTAAAGGTAATCCTGCGTCATCTTTGAGACCCACCCAAACACAAGCGGCATCTTCTACGGCGCCGCCAGAGCAAGGTCACTGGCTTGGCTAGATGTGGGTGAGGCTAGAGAATCACCTCAGATGTTCTTTGGTTCTAAAAATGAGGTAGAGAGAGACATGCCGCCCAGGAAGGGGTTATCCTGAGTGCAGCTGCCCAGCCAGCAGTGCGGAAGGAGGGACAGACAAAAGGCTCATCAAAGACAGCGGGACCAAAATTGAGCGGGCTGGCAGAACCGCTCCGGGCAGGGACACCACAGGACACGCGACTCCAGGGAGCTGGCTGGAGAGGGGCAGGCCTGTGTGCTCTACAGACCCAGAGGGCTCTGATTCACACGGGAAGGAATGAGCTCCTTTAAATGAGTGGCCTCAGTGTGGGCACATGTGGGTACAAATAAATGTAAACAGAGCGGGGCGTCGCCTAGTAGAGGTTGTCCCGCACATGCTCCATGATGGTCTTCAGACCCAGCCAGGTCTCCTCTGCTGTGGGGATGATCTGGTTTGCTGGCAGGAGGAAGCCATAGGTCCCGGTATCTCGCAACTCAAATGTGAATGCAAATTTGATGCCGTTATCATAAGCCCAGTCGATGCTGCTCCCACTAGCTGGATCTGTAAGTCAGAGGACAAAACACTCTTGAAGCCCAGTTCCCTCCCGGGTTAGATGGGAAGGGGGCAAGAGCTCTGCCTGCCTGGGATTCCTTTAGGAAACCAGAGTTTGCTCCTCAAGTCATCAGTCCTATGACAAAATCATCAGCCTGATCCCTATGTCTCAGGGCATCCCACATTGGCCTAAGTTGTGCACTGGTCTCAAGCCAAGAGATCTGAAACCCCCTCGCCCACCTTGTTACTAACTTACTGTGTCAGTCTTGTAGGCCTCTCAAAACCAATCTCTAGAGAGAGAGAGTACAGTAGGCAGCCTCCAAGATAGCCCCAATGATACTTGGATCCTAGAAGTCAAGTCTTTGTGCAGCTCCCTCTTACATTAAATAGGGCTGACGTCACCAGTGTAACTGACAGGATGCTGCAGAAATGAAGCCGTGTGATTTTCAAAGCCAGGTTATAAAAGACACTGGGGCTTCTGCCTTGCTGTCTGTTGGATTACTCACTCTGGATAAGCCAGCTGTCGTGGTGTAAGGACATTCAAGCAGGCCTCTACAGAGGTTCATGGTAGTGAGGAACTGAAGTAGTGAATGAAAAATGCAAGCTGACATGGTTTGGCTGTGTCCCCACCCAAATCTCACCTTGAATTGTAGCTCCCATAATTCCCATGTGTTGTGGGAGGGACCCGGTGGGATATAATTGAATCATGGGCATGGTTGCCTCCATACTGTTCTCTTGGTAATGAATAAGTACACTGAGATCTGCTGGTTTTATAAGAGGAATCCCATTTTGCTTGGTTCTCATTTGCTCTTTGCCTGCTGCCATGTAAGATGTGCCTTTCGCCTTCTGCAGTGATTGTGAGGTCTCACCAGCCACATGGAACTATGAGTTCATTAAACCTCTTTTTCTTTATAAATTACCCAGTTTCGGGTATGCCTTTATCAGCAGTGTGAAAACAGACTAATACACAAGCCTTAGGTTGACTGTGGCCTTGGAAGACATCTTGACTGCAGCCTCATGAAGGATCCTGAACCAGAGCCATCTAGCTAAACCACTGAATTCCTGCCCTACAGAAACTGCAAGAAAATGCGTGTTGATTGTTTTAAGCTGCTAAGTTTTAGGATTTTTTTATTTTAACATTGCAAGAGATAATGGATACAGACATGGGGGCACAGCCCTCGGGACTTCCCCTTGCCAAAGACATATTAAAGGCAAGAGGCTCATTTTTCTGCTTCTTCCCAGTCAAATTCTACTAGCTCAGAAATTGCCTAAAAGTGCAAAGCATAGTTTTTTTTTTTCTTTTTGAGACAAGGTCTCACTATGTCACTCAAGCTGGAGTACAGTGGCATAATCGCAGCTTACTGCGGCCTTGACCTCCTAGGAGCAAATGATCCTCCCACTTCAGCCTCCCAAGTAGCTGGGACTACGGGAGCACACCACCACACCCAGGTTATTTGTTATTTATTTATTTATTTATAGAGATGGGGGGTCTCACTATATCGCCCAGGCTGGTCTCGAGCTCCTGGACTCAAGTGTTCATTCCACCTCAGCCTCCCAAAGTGCTGGGATGAAAGGTGTGAATCCCACGCCTGGCCTAGATGATATTAAATAATAAAACAATGTCAAGAGCAGCTACCATTTGTTGAGCATCTACCATAAGCCAGGCTTTATACCAGACACTTCACATTTATGATCTCATAATCTTCCAAAACCCAGTGAAGTAGGTTTTATTGTCCTTGTCTTACAGATGAGTAAATCCAAGCTCAGAATGGATAATTCACCTAAGGAAATACAGATGGAAAATGGCGGAGCTGCAATCTAAACCCAGGCCCATCTGATGACAAAGCCCAGGCTCTCCTGAACCGACCTCAGATCCAGTTAGTATATTGACAAGCCTGTTTCATGGAAACATGGGTCCTTTGGCTTTCCCATGGTTCCTGTGTGATTCCTGAATAGCCTCTGTGATTTTTCTAGAGATGCTTCCAGTGAGACTCTGTGCTTCCTCCCTGTGTGGTTCCCACGGCCTTTCTCTACCTCGAGAAAATGCTGAATGAAAAATAATGGTACCAGAAGTTTCTAGAAGTTACTTACATGGCAAGTGCAAGTATTTCAGAACGCATCTGAGCTTCAGGAAGGAGGGAAAAAGGCTTCTGCTGAGCAGTCAAAATGACCAAGTTTGTGAACTTCACTTTATTTGGGTCCCTGCTCAAATAAAGTGGGTCCCTACCCACTCTTTAAAAAAAAAAACGGGAACACGCTATTAACACTGTTCTGTAGGCTGTATTTTTCAATTAACAATTGGGGAGTATTCCCTTTTACTGCACATAGGTCCACCTCATTCGTTTAAGGGCTGCGCAGCGTTGTATTGTGTGCACACACCAAATGTGTATTCATCCTGCATTCTCCTGATGGACATTTTAGATGCTTACAAGGGTTGGGGCTTAGAAAGTGATACCCCAAAGCCTGGTGTTTTGACATGCTGAGAGCCTTCGAAAGCTGCCTCTGAAACAAGGTCCCTCTAACTTCTTGTTCTCCACACCCCCACCACCAAGCACACGAGGGGCTCTCTCTCTCTGTCTCTGAAATTTCCTCATCTGATGGAGAAAGCGTCTTTCCAAAAGAAACACAGTTGTCTTAAACACCCTCCCTAGAGTTCTCATCAAATTACCAAGAAAGACAAACCACCAGAAGAGATGAGACTGGGAATCATCACCACCCCCAGATGGACTTCATCTATTCTTCTGAGGGCAGCTCCGAGAGACTACCTGAGGGACTCTATCTGCTTAATAAGGCAACTTTTGTTCCCATGCTGCTCTGCTCCCCACCTTCCTGTGATGTCTGCCTCCCACCTCCCCAGTCCATACATTTCCTCCCTCCTGTATGAAGAAAAGTGTATAGGTCAGGCACGGTGGCTCACGCCTGTAATCCCAGCACTTTGGCAGGCTGAGGTGGGTGGATCGCCTGAGGTCAGGAGTTCAAGATCAGCCTGGCCGACATGGTGAAACCCCGTCTCTACTAATAATACAAAAATTGGCTGGGATGGTGGCACATGCCTGTAATCCCAGCTATTCAGGAGGCTGAGGCAGGAGAATTGCTTGAACCCTGGAGGCGGAGGTTGCAGTGAGCTCAGATCGTGCCATTGTACTCCAGTCTGGGTGACAAGAGTGAAACTCGAAGGAAAGAAGGAAGGAAGGAAGGAGGGAATGAAGGAAGGAAGGGAGGGAGAAAGGGAAGAAGGGAGGGAGAGAGGGAAAAGAAAGGGAAAAAAGGGTATACAAGCTTCTGTGCCCCATTGGGTTACTGGGTAGTCATTCTCTTGTGATTCTCCTATGCCGTGAACACTAAAATAAAATTTTGTATGCCCTTTCTCCTATTGATCTGCCTCTGGTCAGTTGATTTTTCAGTGAACCTTCAGAAGGCAAAGGGGAAACTTTCCCTTGGCCCCTATGCACACTGTTTGTGACTGTAGATAACACTGTCGTGAAGACCTTTCTTCCTCCATGTCAGATGGGTAATGGGTAATGCACCAACATTGTAACAAGGTTGGAGGAAGGGGCATGTCACACATGAGCGTGAAAACCCAATCACATTTATGAACCACAAAAGTACACAGAGCTACTCATCCACGAGTCAGATGAACCCAAAGAACTTGTTTCCAGGCCCTTCCTGGAGAAGAACCAGTGAAGAGGAGGGAAAGGGTTGCTAGAGGCTGTTGGCCGGAAGCAGTACAAGCTACTGCTGACAGTCTGGCAGGAGGAAGGAGACCTAAGGAGCACGGTGGCTCACACCTGTAATCTCAGCACTTTGGGAGGCCAAGACAGGAAGATCACCTGAGGTCAGGAGTTCAAGACTAGCCTGGCCAACATGGTGAAATGCTGTCTCTACTAAAAATACAAAAATTAGCTGGGCATGATGGTGGGTGCCTGTAATTCCAACTACTTGGGAGACTGAGACAGGAAAATTGCTTGAACCTGGGAGGCAGAGGTTGCAGTGAGCTAAAATCACACCACTGCACTCCAACCTGGGTGACAGGGCAAGACTCCACCTCAAAAAAAAAAAAAAAAAAGCAGCAGCAGCAGCAGCAGCAAAACAGGTTGTAACCATTTAGCAGAAGGTCCAAACAGTTCAATATGGCAGAGTAGGCCTTTAGCATCTAAGAACTAGGGTTGAGAAGTCCAATTGGCCATGAAGAAAGGGGCTTAAATTTCTTCTACACGCGCTGTTTTAGAAGGCAGAAGAGAGTAAAATCCACCTTAGAATTATTTTCCTCTAAAATGGCTGATCTAAGAAAGGTCAGCCCTTGAAAAGACAATGTCGACTCTGTGTGACACACACCACAACCTATGGCGCTGGCTAGAATGTTGTTATACAAAGATTGATTGCTTTTTTTGGAAAACGAGGAGGACAGACAAGGCCTATAAAGAATACGAATGACAGGCTCTTAGAAAAGGTGGAAATTGCATGTCTCCCAGACAGCCCTCGGGAGAGCTTTCCTCCTCTTCTTTTGGAGGAATCTGATGGGTATCTCCGGGTTTTGACAGTTTATGCTGGGGAGGAGAGAGAAGAATGTGTCTGATGCAGGAGGACAAGGCCATTATTTAAGCTGGTGTTTGACCCAAAGGCCAGGACCCTGATGACCCCCAAAGATCTTTGGAGAGAACGTCCTCAGAGGGCTCCTACCAAGTCTCTTTTAACTGTCTTTGGCCCCTCACTAAGCGCTCTAATTAAGCAGAGGATGGAGAAAGTCTCCGGGTGTGTTCTCTGAAGAGTTCCCATTTAGCCACGCTAATAACAAGAAACCATGAATTATTAATGGATTGTTGCTGCAATTAGCAACACAAACACCAACATCATCTGATGGCATCTGAAACAGAGATGGAGTCCAGAGGAGGGCCCAGGGGGTGGATGGAGAATCTTCCCAGAAGAGGGGGTCTGAAGCAAAGCCAGCTCAGAGTGAGTCAAGTCAGAAGGGAGAGTGAGCGACAGTGTTGAAGAGGAAAGAAACAGCAGCAAGTTTGCAGGGGTTCTGAGGGTGGATCAACTATTGGGACACTGTGATAGAAAAGGCAAGAGAGGGGAAAGAAGGGCGCGGTGGCTCACGCCTGTAATCCCAGCACTTTGGGAGGCTGAGAAAAGCAAATCACCTGAGCCCAGGAGTTTGGGACCAGCCTGGGCAACCCTTTCTCTACAAAAAAAAATACAAAAATTAGCCAGGCGTGTTGGTGTATGCCTGTACTACCAGCTACGCAGGAAGCTGAGGTGGGAGGATCACCTGAGCCTGGGGAAGTCGAGGCTGCAGTGAGCCGAGACTGCGCCACTGCACTCCAGACTGGGCAAGAGAGTAAGACCCTGTCTCATGAAATTCAGAGGAAAAAAAAAGGGAGGGTACCATCTTAAAGGGGATAAGAGCTGCACCTCCCACGTTTATACAGCCAGGCATCACTTCACAGTGGAGGTACGTTTTCATCATCGTGCAATGTACTTACACAAACCTAGATGGCAGAGCCTCCTGTACACCTAGGCTATGTGGCGTAGCCAATTGCTCCTACGCTGCAAACCTGAACAGCATGTGACTGCGCTGAATACTGCTGGCAGCTGTAACACAATGGTATTTGTCTAGCTCAACAAATCTAAACACACAAAAGCTGCAGTAGGCCAGGTGCACGGCCTCATGCCTGCCATCTCAACACTTTGGGAACCTGACAAGGGAGGATTGCTTGAGCCCAGATAAAGACTCCTTCAGGTATTTTCTTCTCACAGTCTAAAGATATGCTCGGCCATGAGGCGCTCACCTCCATCTCATCCTCTCCCATGCAAGCCCTCCATTCAATTCTCCTTCAGCCCTCTATCTGTCTTCATAAATGCTACTCCCCCAATCCCACCACTCTTTTACCTTAAACACCATTTTTTTTTTGACAGAGTTTTATTCTTGTCACTGAGTGCAATAGCATGACCTCAGCTCACTGCAACCTCCACCTCCCGGGTTCAAGTGATTCTCCTGCCTCAGCCTCCCACGTAGCTGGTATTACAGGTGCACATGACACCCAGCTAAAGTATTTTAGTAGAGACTGGTTTCACCATGTTGGCCAGGCAGGTCTCAAACTCCTGACCTCAGGTGATCCACCCCCCCTCAGCCTCCCTAAGTGCTGGGATTACGGGCGTGAGGCAGTGCGCCCAGCCTCAGCACCAATTTTAAACCCCAACGAACACTCATGCTCTGATCTAATTAAAAGTTCTCTCACTGTATTTCACCACCTTACTTCCACTCACATATAGGGAGCCCCAAATTACTTTATAGATGGCAGCACATCGACAAGCCCTCCCTCCAAGCAGGATATGCCATTATTGAGGGATAGCATGATGATACCCACTCTCTCCCACCTATAAGAGTTGTAGAGGCTGCCCCCTTGCCTTTGGGCACATCCTCCCAAGAAGCAGAATCAGTTGCCCTAATAAGAGCACTAATTCTAGCAAAAAACACCCAAGTTAATATACACACCCGTTCTAAATATGCCGATAACATCATCCATTCCAATGCCCAGATTTGGAGCGAGCAGGGTATCTCACGGCTGAGAGAACTCCTATCATTAATGGAAAACTAATCTATCATCTATTAAAGGCCACTTTACTTCCAGAAAAGGTTGGAGTTATTATCCATTGCAAAGGACATCAATCAGATAAGAGCTACATTTCTTTAGGGAACGATGAGGATGATTATTGGGCAAAACACGTCTCAACCAATCATCCTTTCCCTAATACCTATTTCTCCTCATATGACAGATCCCCTCCTTTTATCCTAAACACCAAATACAGCAACTAGCTATGGAGGGGGCGCAAGTCAAATCCCCATACTGGTTCATATGAAACAAATTAGTTCTACCAAACCCTCAAAAAACAACTCTTTTATGGGATATCCACAATCTCTTCCACAGAGCCATTCCCCACTACAGTTCTTAAGTTCCCATATACGCATAACCCCAGATATAAAGGAACAGTTAAAAGCCATTTCCCATCAATGCTCTATTTGCCAGAAAGCATCACCCCATTCCAAAACCAAACCCCCTTTTCTCTCAACCCATCAAGCCAGGGGACACCTTTCAGGACAAGACTGGCAAATTCATTTTACCCATATTTCCCCAGCAAAAAAGATTCCATTTGTTTTTGTTCTGGTTAATACCTTTCGGGATGGGTCAAGGTTTTTCTCATCTAACAAACAACCTTCTACTGTCAGCTCCAAATTAATAACAGAAATCATACCCAGGTTCGGGGTGCCTCTTTTTTTTCCAATCTGATAAGGGTCCTGAATTAACTTCTCAAATTACTCAAACACTTGCACAAGCCCTACAAATCACCTGGAAGCTACTCATCCCCCATCGACCTCAATCTTCAGGAAAGGTTGAAAAAAATGAATAACATTCTAAAAAACACCCTCACCAGGTACTCACCAAACACAGACAAACTGGGTTACACTTTTACCTTTGGCCCTTCTAAAAACTCGGGCACTCCCATGTAAACCTCCAATGCTCAGCCCCTATAAACTCATGTCTGAAAGACCACTCGCCCCTTTTGTTCCACCTAGAGTCAAGCCCCACCTCTTCCCACCTCTCTCATTTCCCCTCTTCTGTACACCATCCACTGTTTTATTTGGGAATATGCTGACAAATGCCTGGCACAACCTGTAACCGACTCTTCTAATCCCTCCCTACAGCCAGGAGACGGGGTTCTGTTAACAGACCCCAGCCCTACTCCCAGCTCCCCGCTCACACCTCAATGGAAAGGACCTTACCAGATCATCTTCACTACGCCTACGGCAGCAAAGCTCCAGAGACTCCCCAGCTGCTTTCATGATACTTCTCTCAAGAAAGCAGGCTTCCCTTCACCACACACCCAAACAACCACGTCTAAAACCCCTTCAGCCTTCTCTTGTATCTCCACATGACCCACTTCCCTTTGCCTCGCCCAAATCCCGAGGAAAAAGGAAGAGAAATCCACATCAGTTGCTTATATTTCTTTCTCTCCCAAATTTTCATACTTCCTAACCAACCTCATTAGAGACCTTCAGTGATACCCTTACAAAATTCCCACTATACACCCTGAACAGCTCCTTACTGGACTATGGGACCTATGGCTTCAAGGAACTTTCCAGAACTTTACTCCTAGGCAAATAACTTTTTTCTCCTTTTGTTTGTTTCTTTCAATATAAATTCCCTGATCCCATCAACCTCACCAATACAACCACTCCTCGCCACTCTCAAACTGGAATGCTCTGTAAACCTTGGCACGATTCCTCTTGCTACAAGCTAACTGTTCCTTTGCTCCGGAATGCTAGATGTGTTTATGTCTGTCTTTTCAGCTTACACAGCCCTTCCTACACCCCTGCATGACCTTTTCACAGGAAACATAATCCTGATTTATAAACCCCCAAAAGGAGCTTCCTTTTTTAAAAGAACTGACACCCTGGTCAGCGATTATCCCACTTCCAGGACCAATCAGGCCAACAAATTATTTCAAACCTATTACAGCTCCCTACAATGCCTCAAGCCCCAATGCCCTCCCATTGAAGGGGCCATAACTAAACATGCCCCCTTTTACAACAGCCTCACTTTGCC